AGTCCTTCCCTTTAGTGCCGACAAACCCCTCTCCTGTGCTGCTGCACACTCCAGGGGAATTCCTTTTGTCTGAATTAAAATTCAGGTATTTAAGGAAATGGATGGCCCTAAGTGACACGGAATTAAAATGAATTATTGAAATGGATAATGTAACTCAGGCAAGATCATTTCTTTTCTCCGTTCCCTGTTTTATTTTGGAGCGCTGCTGTTCTGTCAGGGATTTCTGGGAACTCCCAGCACCCCCAGCCCCAGGGAGTGTCTGGCTGCAACCTGAACATCTGCATTTCACCCTCAACAACAGCAGGTTCAACCAAAACTTCCCACAGGGCCGATGATGAAGATCAACCCAGGCTGGTTTTGGGTGGGATATTTGCTTTATGGTGTAGTTTTTGTCCCCACTTCCACAGTGACATTGGAAGGTGGCATATCAGGAGCAGAGCACTCGATGTGACACTGCCCATGGCAGCGGTGGGCACTGGGAAAGCCAAGGGGACTGCTGGGATCCTGCCAGAGCCCTCCAGAGGGTCAGGATCTCTGCGTCTGTAACTCTGGATCTCTCTCTCTCTCTAGATATATCTGTATATATGTCTATATATATCTATCTATATATATCTGTATCTCATATCTCTATATATCTGTGTATCTAATGGCTCTTTGTCTCCACTTCCCTCCTTCTCTTCCTCCCATATATAATCTATATCTAGAGAGATATACCTATACCTGTACCTCTCCAAATATCTGTAGATCACTCTGTATGTCTATAGATCTCTCTCTATACTTATCTATAGATCTCTTTATATATCTCTAAATATCTATAGATCCCTCCCTCTCTATATATATATAGAGAAATGTCTCTCTCCCTCTCTCTATCTATAGATATCTATAAATATCTCTATTGGTCCACCTTTTTCCATCTCTATTTCTATAGAATATAGAAATCTATATCTATATATATATTCTATAGAATATAGAAATCTATATCTATATATACCTAATCTCTCTATAGATATCTGTGGATCTCTCTGTCTCTATAGATATCTCTAGATATCTCTGTTTCCTTATATATCTGCCGCTATCTCTATATATCCACATTTTCCATCTCTATTTCTGGACAATCCCGGTCCTCGGAGAGGGCGGGGCCGCGCTCGGCGGTGGATTAGCGAGCCTGGCCGGGTGAGCGCTCGGCGGTGGATTAGCGAGCCTGGCCGGGTGAGCGCTCGGCGGTGGATTAGCCAGCCTGGCCGGGAGTCTCGGCGGTGGATTAGCCAGCCTGGCTGAGTGAGGGCTGGGGGTGGCCATGAGGGCTGCGGGGCCGTGCGGGGAGTGCGGGGAGCGGGACACGGGCCGGTACCGCTGTCCGCGCTGTGCCGCCACATAGTGAGCCGGGGG